GGGGGGGCGGCATGCAGGGCTGCACACCACTTGTGGGATGTCCTTAAAGGCAGCAGGGGCTGGAGACCCCCCCAGATGGTGGGACCAAACCAGCACAAGGGCTGCCACACACCCCCACAGCCCTCCCTCCTCTGCCCCAGGGACAGCGAGGCACAGCCAGGCCAGAGAGCCATGGGGTGGGGGGGTTCTGCTCCTCTAGGCGAGGGTCCCACCTGCACGGGGGTACAGGGACCTCCATCTCGAGGGTGCTCTGCAGCACCCAGTGTCTGTGCTCCCCCAGCTCCATGCCCAGTGCTGCCCACGGCCTCGCTGCAGTCGCACCTGAGCAAAGAGTGCCAGAACTGGCACCCAGTAACTGCCCCACGCCAAGGAGGGGGGCACTGGCACTGCCCCAGGGCAGGGGCACCTTTGATCCCTCCCTGCCCCACAGAGGGGAAGAGGGGCAGGGAGGGCTGGGGCTGTGCCTCCCGGGTTTTCCAGCAGCAGGAAAGCAAACAGGAGCAGGCAGGTGGGAGCAATAAACCACAGGCAGGACTGGCCCTAGGAATGCTGGTACCTCTAGAGCCGGGGCGGCCACTGCAGGACTGCGGGGGCCTTTGAACCCAGGGGGGCAGCTCCGGAGCACCCAGGACTCGCTGCACCCCACATCTCACTCTGGAAAAGCAAAGTGTAGCCACCAAGCCCAAGAGACATAAACTCACAACTTGTTTAATGCCAGTTAGATTGCTTTACATGGAAAAGTTACAACGCCCTCTGTAATTTTTTTTTTTTCCCCACCATATGATGCCTTATATATTACAATGCCACAAGGTCGCAGACTTTATCACACAGACTCTGGGAGGACCCTTTGCTCAACCCGCCCGCATGGTTCAGCGCTTGCAGATCACACCCCAAAAACACAAGCTCACATTAGCTTTGCTCTTTTCCCCACTTAACACTCCGCAGCACACTCCAGCCAGCCCACAGCATCATGCCGCTTGCCCACGGGAGCCGAGACACGCACACACCCGTCAACACTCACTCTTGCAGTAGACCTGCAGAGAGCACTTCTGGGAACTCCGCTCCTGCCTTGGCAGCTGCGAGCTGGGTGGGGGAAGGAGTTTGTGCCATGCTTTAACAGCTAAGTCCATCTGAACAGCTCCTTCTCACCATGCTCGTTAGCCATCAGGCTCAGCTGCTTGGAAGTCACTAGCCCTCCCTGCCAACCATGAGAGAAGTCATGATGAGCCAACCTGCTCCCAAGGCAGCTCCACAGCGACAAGAAGTGAGAGATGTGGTTTGTGAAAGTCCCTGGCAAGAGAGGAGCACGATGTGGGGACGGGGCAGTGAGGGGCTGTCCCCCCTCCACAGCCCCCAGGGAGCACCCAGCGGCAGATGCAGCACGCGCTGCCCACCGCCCCGGGACTCCCCCGGGGAACGCACCCGCACTGCAGGGCAGGAGGCAAACCCACCTCTCCCTCCACCATCCCCACGGGAGTCCCGGGGCAGCAAGGAGCCCTGGCAGCAACACGTGCCACCCCGTGCTCCAGCTGGGCTGCCCGGCTCCTTCCTCCTGCTCCAGAATGGGCATAAACCAGTGTGAAACCACCCCACGGCTGAGACTGTGTGTGTGTCCCCACCCCAACCATCTATTTCTTCCTGGAGGAGAAAGCGGCATCTCCTGGGGGTCTACGTGCCAGGATTTAGGCAGGGGACTATCCATAACAGACAGGAAAATCCACAGCAGCAGCCACCAACCACCTCCAACCCCGAGGTAATTCCCTTCCCTCCCCGCCCCGGTCCCCAGGCTCTGCTGCCCGACGGGGCGGTATCACACAGGACAGACACCCATGACATGGCCATGTCTCGCTGCAGGTGACCTTTCACTTCAAACCTGCTCACCAGCTTAACAATGTGACATAATTTTAACAACTCCTCAGTGCTTTGCTGTGTTCCTTCCACGCGATGAAGTTTAACAGTGCCAGTGAAGGTAACAAACAACAAGAGAGGGGCTGGGAGGCCATCGGATGATTTTTAAACCAAGCCCCGTGCTCCTGCAGCAAGAACCACAATAAAGTAGTTGTGCTGAAACTACTTTTCAGAAATGACATTGAAATTACATTTTGGAGGCAAGTGAGGCTATAAGACGACAGTGCGGCTGCCAATTTGGGCTTTGGAGACTCAGCGCTGCCAGCCTGCTAAGGAACGGTGAGCTGCCGGCACACGGGCTGCTCACCGGTGTCTCCAATACCTGCGACACGCAGAGGTAGCGCCAAGAGCCTGATCCAGGCCCTGGCGGAATGGCACACATGGTCAAGGCTGTAGTGAACAGTATGGCACCTCGCTGCCCTTCTCCATACCCACCTTCCAGCACCTCAGCAGCTCACCCTAAGGATAACTGGTGGCACTGGGGAGGGACAATCCTATTCCTACCGCCACCCCTACAGTCTGGTTTCAGGGAAAGAAGGTGGTAGAAGAAAAAAAAAAAAAAGAAAAAAAAAAAAGAGAAAAGTATTGCCTATGGACTCGACAGAGAACAGGTCAAGGTCTATATACACAGCCAGGAAAATCCAAATGAGAACAGGAAAGAGCACTGGCATCCCAGCGCACAAGAGAGGGCACAAGGCCGGAGCCGGGTGCATGGCAGGGAGAGCATTGGCACGTGTACAAAGTAAGACAGAACAGGCTGCTGCAAGCGTAACAGCTTCTCTTTAAATTAAAAGCAACACATACACACAAGTGCTTTGCATCACATCCCACAGCACTCATCACACAGGCTCCAAACACACAAGCAGGCACTCTCTTCCCATACAATTTTTTTTTTTAAAAAAACAAAACAAAACCCCAAGAACAGGTCCCTGGCTTTGACTTGGAGATAAAAAAAAAAGCAACACTTCTTCCTTGCTTTAGAAAAAGAACCCCCCCTCTCACCCAGAGATGGTGTTTCCCCCTTTACAGCCAGAAGAGGCCATGCTCTCTCCAAAAAAACAAGATCCACATGAGTTGTTTTGTTTCTCCAACACATCTCAACTGCTTTTGTCCTCAGGAAGACTCCAGAGCAACCAGCTTGCCCCAAATGGCACTGTGGGAAGCTCCACATGCACGGTGGTTGATGGTTGGTGGTTTTTTTTGTTTTTGTTGTTGTTGTTTTTGTTTTTTTTTTTTTTAAAAGCCATTGTTTTTCCTCTCTGTTAACTAAAAGGATCAGCCCAGAACATGCAATAGCAATTTCAGAACTTGCTCCCTCTGAGGTGGAGCCTCTTCAAGTCTCCTCCAAAATTTAGAGCTCAAAACCACATTCATTTGAAGGCAGCTGTCAAGCATGCCAAAAATCAAGCTGTCTTACGGGAATGATTGTATCAAGTACTACAGTACCTATTCAGGAAAAAAAAAAGGAAAAAATAAAGCAGTTCTTCAGTTTCTTCATGTAACGGGGATGCCAGGCTATAAACAATGCCCTTAGATAATCAGAGAGGCTAACGCCCAGCCTGGAGTCAGGCCTCTTCGCACCAGTTGTATTGAACAAGTCTGGCTGGCTCCTACCTCCAAGGATGTCCATCCGAGGACAGAGAGACCCATTCCCATCAAGGCAAGGACGCTC